AGAAAATGTCTATGGTGTCACAGTGTATCATCATATACTGTACGTCATCATTTATAAGACAAAAACAAACAGCAAACATGAGCGTTTCTACACAAATTATACACCATATTGGCAAAACAGTACAGTTTGTGACGTGGACATGCCATGTGCAGTGCTATGTACAGTAACTGAGTGCAGAATGAATGACACAGATCATTATGGCTTCTGTGATGTACTGTTTTACTGAGTCAAGCCTCGTCTCTTATTTTCTGTGTGTGTGTCTGTGGGATGAGGAGGAGGAGGAGTGGAGGCTACAGGAAAAGCCTGGACTTGATGCTGCTCCTCTCCCCTCATCCCCAAATCACTTCTGTTCCCTTGTTCCTCCTTCCTCCTCTCATTTTAGGTGGAAATCACAGGCTTGCTATGAAGGTCCCATCACAAACAATACTAATTAGGGATCAATTTACTTTTACTTTTGCCAGTCATTTCTGGAGGGTGGAACTGCAAGCCAAGAATGACATATTGTATATGAGAACTTGTGTGTAAAAGTGACTGAAATGCTTGAATCAGATCATCAGACTGACAAACAGCAAATCTCAAATAATTACACATTCAGTATTTATGACATTTCCTAGATACAGATTATCAATAGTGAGGATCTGTTGCCGTTTCTTTGCTTCATGCCACTGCAAACTGCAAGTCTTGTGGTTCATTAATCATTGACTTAACAAAAAGAGATCTGTTAACTTTGAATCAGTTTAATTTGGTCAAGAAAAGTGACAAAAAATATTCATTGATGACCTATTTATCATGACAAAGGTCAAAACTAAATTTATAACAACTTTGATAAATTACTATGCCAAGCTGTATTATTTTTTCCCCAATGAAAGAAGTGAATGATTATGTGAAAGACAGATGAACAGACATGAATTCACTACAGTCTTAATACTCGGTCTTACTGAACGACTTGCACAATCTGTGGAATCACAACGTGCAGCTCCTGATTTCCCCCACCAGCCAAAATCTCTTTCGTTCAACAGCTGTTTGACCTGTTGCACTGTATCTTACATTCACCGCTGTCCTGCCTCTGTCATCTGACATTTCCAGTTTGTGGCAAAATCAAGCTTGTTGACTGTTTTAATCTACAATCAGACAAGGTGAGAAGAACAAGTGAGACCATCTACAAAACGCAGGTGGCACTTCACCGGTTGTGAGAAGGCTAGAACATTAACATGAAGTTCTATGGATATAATGTTTACATTATTTTGAGTTTCATGTCTTTATGTTCCTACCAAAAAAAGAAAGTGCCAGGATCAGTGTTGGCAGTGGCAGTCCATCTAAATCTTCACCACAGAAATCTCACTCTATTAATGTTTTTTTTTTGCTGAACCTGTGATTTTAGTCCAGATGTGAATGAATCCAGCTTCTGAACTTCTGCAGAGCAGAGAGATATGGACACAAATAACAAAAAGGAGCACTTTCCACACAAACAACAGCAGTAACCATGGTAACTGTGCATAACAAAGGTGGCAACAGCTGTCGACTCCCTGGCCTAATTAGCGATACTGTTGCACCTTTGCTCTGTCCTTTTTCTCTATTAGCAACAGGCGACACAAAGTTCATGGATAAGTCACAAATCAAATCTGCAAACTGTCCAAAAAACAAATTCCAGAGAGGCTGAAAATTCTCTTCAAAGAGTCATCACATAAAAACTTGAACAGGCATTTTGATCGAAACGTTTGTCAGAGAAATGTATTCATCTTCATGCGACCCCTGGTTTGTGTGTGAATCTGACTTTTCAGACAACTGTTGACTGAAAATGTTAAGAAGACACAGTGTAAATATAAAAAATTAGACTAAAATGTCACTGACAAAAATAAAGCAGAGCAGCTTCTAGAGTAAGAAGAAAATCTGTTCTCAGATGCCAAAATTAACATTTTTAGTAAAATGTATCAATTACTCAATAAATAAATAAATCAAAAAAGGTTGTTTGTCTTAATCAAGATTTTATTTACTGTGATTTGCCAAGAAGTGAACGTTGTGCTATGAATTAAAACAGGCTTAATATCCCTCCTAGTGTGTGATCGCAGTTTATGATTTTAAGCCTGGAAAACACACACTGGTAGTGTGGCTGTGTATGGACTGTATATCTAATGATCCCTGTGTCGCCCTCTTTGTGTCTCCCACACCTCCCCTTCTCATTATCGGTGACGCCTGAGTGGATTAACCACATGCGCGCACACACACACACACACACACACACACACACGTTTTCATTCCTTGTGGGGACTTTACATTGACTTACATTCATTTCCTATGGACTTATCCTAACCTTAACCATAACCACTACTTGCCTAACCCTAATACCTAACACTTAACCTGACCTCATCCTAACCCTAAACCATGTTACCACCCTAAAATTCAGTGATTTGCTTGTGGGGACCAGAAGCGAGTCCCCACAAGGATGGTTGAGTCCCCACAGTGTGAGTGTGTTAACAGGTTTCAGTCCTCATGATGTAAGTAATACAAAGGCACCTACACACACATACACGCAGTAACACACATTTGATTGATTTGATTGATTCTTTCAAGCATGTAAAGACAGTTGATATGTCAACACACATAATTTTACACATATCCAACAAATGCTAATCCAATATCAATTTGCTTATACCTAGTACATGCTTGAATGGAGTACACGGTAATGAAAGCAGAGCCCATCAAAGGGAATCTATTTGCCCTGGTTTAGGAAAGACAAACTGTCATAAAACATGGATTTGTTCTCAATGCAAACCAGAACCCCTATCTGGCAGCATTTTGTGTGTGTGTGTGTGTGTGTGTGTGTGTGTGTGTGTGTGAGACACAGGGCTAGGAGCCAGGAAACAATATGACATTGTTGTATGTGTGCGTAGGCCACGGAGATGATGTGTGTGTTTAGAGTTATTTGTTTATAGTATCTCAGATGAAATTAATCAGGTTAGTAAGTAAAAGGGAAAACATAAACATAATGAGACAGGATGGAAGAAAGGAAGGAAGAAAAAATAAAGAAAGATATTGAGATGTCCACCTACTTGATTAGGTTGATTTGGAAAATAGAGCCAGAAAATTCTGCTAACCAAACTTAATACATCCTGAGCCAACCTGCTCTGTCTCCACCAGACAGATGAAAAGGAGTAAAAACCTCAAGCTGAGCCAGATATATGCAAACTTAAAGAGAGAGTGAGAGTGAGAGACAGCAGACACCAAGTGGAGGATGAGGACTTGGTCCAACTACCTAAACAGAGAATGTAGACCTGGCAACAGTAAGCCAGCAATGCCGCACACACTTGCAGCTCCCCTCTCACAACGCCACGCACACTTTATCCAATTACCTGAGTGACATACTGTAAAAACATGGCTATCACTAAGCTTCCTACACTTTAATGAGAGTAAAACGAAGTGTGTGCTGTTTGGAAACAAAATCCCGGCGGTTTTGGAAACAGTGACCTTGGCCCTATGGCTGCCTTTTTGAAACCTCAGGTAAAAAAAAAAAACATAGGGGTTTTATTTGATAGTGCCCTTAAGATGGACACACAGGTCAGTTCAGGAGTCAAAGTGAGCTTCTTTCAGCTGAGATTATTAGATTTTACACTTTCTATCATTCAACAACTCTAAAAAGGCAATTCGTGCATTTATCAGCTCAAGGACTGGCTACTGTAATACTCTATATGTTGGGATCTCTCAAGCAGCCCTGTCCCATCTTCAGTTGGTCCAAAACGCAGCTTCTCTTCTTTTGACAAATACATATAAACGTGAGCACATAACCCCTATTCTGGTTTCCCTTCATTGGCTTCCTGTTTGTTATCTGTTCCTAATATTCTGACCCTCTCACATATGTAGCTGTGGAGGACAAAAATATAGAGACACCTCTGAATATAATGTAGTGCAGTCCAACACCATCGTTGACTATGACCTCATTAATACACATATACTGTAATTGCATACAAGTGTACCTAATAAAGTGGCTGGTGATTGTAAACTCATTTATCTGATTTTAGTGACTGAGTCATGTGGAGACACTTTTGCACACAGCAAAAGGTGCACACACATCTATGCTGCATCTGTGAAGCCAAATTTACAGTTTAATTTTATCTTTTGGCACAGACTAGAATCCAAACCATGCTGATTCTGCAGACCATGAGCCAAGAGCAGTCAAAGTGGCATGTACAAATAACAAATGAGACAGAGCATGATGTTCAAGAGGGAAAATATAGGTAGATTACAACAGTGTGCAGGCTGTGGGCAGGTATCAGTGCCTGGGTTCTGGTCAGGATTTACTGTCAAGCTGGAAGCGGGGCTATGGTTGTACTGCTTGGGTGATGTACTTTGGCACGGGTCAGCTGGAAATGTGACAAGGTGAAACAGAGCCACTGACGACTCATTCATCTCCAAATAAAGACACAAAGAAGCGAAGGAGAACATACAACAGTAAGGCACACAGCTGATGAGTGGAACAGTGAGGAGCTCCTACCTTTCTTGACTTTCTTATGGGGCTGTTTCTTCTTGATGAACTTGGTCGCCTCCTGCAGAAGCTCCAGCTCCTCCTCATCAGCAGCCACCTCCGCAATGGGCTCCACTCCCCCTGAGTGACAGGAAGAGGGAACAGATCAGCCACTTAGTTTCTCTTTTTAACACATGCTTCACATACTGTATACAGTTTACACTCATGACGTCAGCTCCTACCACCGGTCAGTAAACAGCTTCGTTAAAGACTTTTAATGCCTTGCTCATCGGCAGGTAAACAGCTTTCATCCAATTTCCCTCCAATGTTTTCTTTTGCTCTGAGATTTGAACCAAAATGTTTTCAGTGTTCAGTGTTTTAAATTCCTTAAAAGTTATAGCACATATATTGATCAGTCCAATTTATACTTTCTGTATCTGTGTAGCTGCAAGGATCTTTCTTGTCAGAATTTGGGATTGCCTGGACAGTGTGCACCAAAAAAAAAAGACACAAGTGAACATGTGCACCTCTGCAGACACCTAATGTAAACAGAACTGTGAGTGCATCTGTTACCACTGTCTGCTGGGGTACATCTATGTCACATGTTTGTCCGTTTATTCTAGCACAAACGCAGCATGAAATAATAGTGTTGAACATGCTGTGTGTGAGTGCGTGCGTCTAAACGTGCATGTGTGTCATTCTGTGCCAAAATCCCTGCTTGAATCCCATGGATCAGTCTGGATTTAGGGAAGTCCCGAGGCCCATGAATTGGATGCCTTGTGTCTTCTCCGTCCCACCTCTCTGTCTCCTCCTCATCCCCCCTTCCTCATTCCTCTCCTCCCCTCTGTCTCCTCTTTTTCTTCTGTCCTTGTTTCCCATGCTTTCCTCCTTTCATCCCTCCATCTCTCCCCATTTCCTCTACTCCTCGAGGTTTGTGCCCAGTTTCATGGTGCTGTCATTTAACATGCACTCTACACATTGTGCCTTTGTACTGTGCGTGTGTTCGTGCATGTACAAGTGTGCGTCTGCCACCATGTCTACCTTAAGGTGTCTGAGAATGTGCGTGTCTCCATCTGTCCCACTGCGTCTGTATGATGAGAATTTTTTCAGAGTAAGTTGCTCCTGAGGTGGGCTATTTCCTCACCTGATGTTGATGTAAGACTGAGGTTAAAACACACATACACACAGACCCACACATTCCCCATGAAATTGAAAGTCACTGTTTAAAAAACTACTTGCCTTAGAAAAACACCTGCCCAATTAGGAGTCAGGCATATCCCATTTCAAACAACTGTGAGTGTGTGTGTGAGTGTGAAGCCACAGGCTGTGCTCTCACCAAAGAGAACAAGATTGGCTTTAGAAAAGGCCAGGATAAATATTAGAGAGGGTTTAGGGTAATCTACACACACACACACACACACACACACACACAGACTGCCTCTTGGAGCTCCCCTCTCACACATTCCTCCCTCTCCCTCTCTCTCCGTAAATAGTAGGTGTAGTACTGCTTGGTCAGAGCTGTGGTGTGTTTCTGTGTTTCTCTTGGTTGTGGTCAGGTCTATATTTGTCTCACTGGCTGGGTTATCAGTTTTAGACAACCCCAAGTTTAAACTCAATAATCTGCACCACATCCTACTCAACACCCAAGAAAAGCAGCAGAATGGAAGATGACACTTTCATTATGAGTAACAGTTGTAGTAACAGTAATGATGGCAACACTAGTCAAAGGAGCTGATATATTTAAAGTAGAACTAGAAGCAGTTGTTGTTGTAGCAGTGGTACTGGCAAAAGCATGAGTACATGAAAAGACAAATACAAAATTTTGAAATTTTCAACCATATATCTAAATTCTCCCCAAACTGTTCAAAATGTACCTGAATAGTCCCAGAGTGTCCAAACTGTCCCCAGTCCAACCAAGACGTATTAAGCCATAACATTCAGAGGCACAGTCAGTGCCCAAAGAAGCCTCTAGTTTTTATTATTACAGATGAATCTCTCTACAACTCCTGGGTCCAAAAACATCTGAAGGTGCAGGATTACTTCTGTTGTTACTGCAACTAATGCCAGTACAGTTACTACTGACACCAGTGCTACTGTGGCCCTGCAATCACTTTAAATATTTTCTTGGGCCCTAAAGTGTGTTGGATGTCCAGCGTGGTGAAGAATACTGGCTCAAACTGCTGTGAATGCTGCCATGACAGGGACAGATACATATAACAGCACTGTTTGGGAGCTGGAGAGAGCTTTGTGCAGTAATAGACATTCCAAGATTAAGTTAGTTTAAGTGGTACTGGTGCAGTTGGGAGTAGGTGGATAAAATTAAAGGGGCAGTTTGGGAGGATTAGAGGCCTTTTGCAGATATGTGGAGGTGGTTTAGATATGGTTTGGTTTGGTTTTAGGAAAGTTCAAACTGATGTTTTTCAGGTAGACAATGTGGGGCACTGTAGAGTCTGTTTGGACAGCTTGGCACAGGTTCTATGTATTTCAGATTAGCTGGGGGTAGTCTGGGACACATGGAAACTGTGCAGCAGTTTGAGCCTTTTTGGACATTTGTGGGTCTGTTTGTAAGTAGATGGGGATGGTTTGGGTCAGTCAGTGGCAATCTGAGTACAGCTTGAAGAAAGCTCAAGACATTTTGTGACAGTTTGGAGCACTGCGGGACTGTGTGGGCCAGTGTGGAGCAGTTTGGGGCCACTTGGGGCCAGTTTTGGAACAGCTCTGGACATCTTGGCTGAGGAGCGAAGCTGCTTCCAACAGACAGCGTTGTGTTGGCTTGCAGTGTGGCGACACTAGCAAATTCCTGCTTTATTCTGGGCTGTGGTTTGAAGATGGGGGTGACACTGCGCTGCGCTGCTGTGGTTACCAGTAATTTGGCTGTGGGATTTGTGCTATTTCAATCCCCCTCAATGTACACATCTCTGCACATACACACGCAGTATGTTACACCACAAATTAGCACACACACACACACACACACACACACTGAAAACACACACCAGAAACTAGGAAGTGGGTTTCACAAACAGCTGTGTGTGTATCAGACACCTGATCTGGCTAACAAAGGCACACTCACACTATTATTACATGTATAAGTTGTGTATATGATAAACACTGGAAACAAGGGATCTTTGCCATTTCAGTAAAGTGATTAAAAAGTACAAAAGCTGTAATAACAATTACTCCCAGCCCCAAATTAAATTTTAGTTTGTAAAGAACAGGCTAGAAGTCGACGACCCTATAACAGTTCAGATGTACTGAAAGATGAACTCATGTAATGAGTAATGATTGATTATATCCAAAACAGACCACTGCTCTGTGTGTGCGTATATATATATAGCATTCTGGAGGAGGACTCTTCAATTTCAGCACCACAAAGACAGAACAAAGACAGCTGGACCTACACTTAAACATGCTACATATATTTTCCTTTACTCTGTGTCCTCTGAACATACTCATACTGCATATACATACTGTACATGTGTGCATGCTCATGCACACAAACACAGCCCATCTTCTCCTCTCTCTTTAAGTTTAAAATTAGATGCAGGCCAAAACCAAAGCTACCAGTGGAACACTGTGAAAATAACTGCAAAACACACACACACTATAGGCGTGTGTGGATAGGAGGGTGTGTGTGTGTGCGCATATGTACAGCTTGTGTGTCTGCCTGCTTTCAACTGGACTGTGAACATAAGCAAACTCTTTTGACTTCATTGGGAGAGGGAAGAGAGGAGAGGAAAGGAGAGGAGAGGAGAGGAGAGGTGAAGAGAAGAGAAGAGAAGAGAAGAGAAGCTGAGGTCATATGTCACAACAGTGAAAAAGTGAGGAAAGAAGAAACAACTACAGACGGAAACAACTGAATAAAAGGAAACAGCAAATGAGAATCTGATCAAAGACAAAACCGATGATTACACAGGATTAACTGCAGGTTTATACAGAGACAAAAACCCAAAATAAAAAAAAACACAAAAGGACAAAAACTGAAGCCACACGTGAGATGACTGGGTATTGCCACAAGTGTTGTGTGTTTGTGTGTGTGTGAGAGGGAGAAGACTCCAGTAACACACCTCCCTGATTGAGCTCAATGCTGACAGTATGCTGCCTAATGAACCATGTGATAAACACTCCTGATTTCACCAGGTGTGCATGTGTGTGTACAGGGTGCAGTGAAGCCAGTTGGTCTGGATGATGTCGTCAGGGTGAGACAGAGGGTCATGTGATGGAGGGCAAGATGTACATACTGTCAGAGAGAAAGCTCACATGTAACACTTGTAGCAATATATTAATGTTGACAATATTATATAAATTTACTGATTTGTGGTAATGTATGGTAATAATCCACTGACTCAATGTATAGGAAAGTTTGCCTTACACCTCAGTAAACCTGACATCTTATTAACGTTCTTTGTGTGTGTTTCTTCTGCTGTTGTTAACTGGACAAACACAGCTGGTCTGATGTCTAAAGAGAGTTTATCAGATCAAAGGTACAAAAACCAAGAGTGAAACATGCCTGATGCTCGAGTAAGGGCTGCGACTCTCACTTTCTTCTGTTATTCATCTACAGTACCTTAACCAGTGTTTCTTGCTTCCCCAGTCCAAGGACACTTTGCATTTTTAAAGGGTTTTTACACATTCACCTGTGTTTACTGTTTATGAGTTTTAGCAGGTCGGCCCTATGTAAAAACCGAGGGATTCCTTGTTAATATCAACTCCTACAATGAAGGAAAAAGTAAAGTTGATTTTTGTGACAGCAAGAGCCCACAAATCCACAAAATAGGCCATTAAAAGTGTCTTAAAAGTCTTTGCTGGTTGCCTCAGTATAAACAAACTGATTTTATGTGTAGTGAACTACACTGTACTATAGTACATGGATTTAACATTTTACAGATATCAGTCCATTTCTTATTGTAAAAGGAGCCTAATCAAAATTTAGAAATGGTAAAGGGACTGCACTTAAATAGCACATTTTCTACCTTAAATGAAGAAGTGCTTTACACTTTGCCTCTCCTCCACCTATTCACACACACACACACACACACTCATGGTGAGGCACGGCCCTGCGTGAGCAGCTTCTGTTTCTTGCTCATCACACTTCGTCACATGAACATGAAACGCCGGGTACTGAACCGCCGACATGACTTCATCATTGTCTTTTACACAACCAGCTTCTGTAATTTGCTAAAATTCCATTTCAAATGATGACTTTTATTTTGAGGGCGGAGGAGAGGTATTTGATTACCCATTCCTCCCTGTAATATTAATCTTATCTGAATTAGACCTCATTGATTAAATGTTACAGAACCGGTTTTCTTTTCCTTCCAGTGATAAATTGCTCTACACGTACACACCCATCTGCCCTTGCATCAAGCAAACCTCCTTGTCCAGTTTTTTTCTCCGTCTCTACTTTTGGATAAAAAGTGACATCACCCTAACAATGAAAGCGATAACATCAGGCTCAGTATGTGTTTAGAACTGCAAAGGTTTTAATTTCCAGGAAGTACAGAGTAACACATTACCACACAGACACACACTCTGTACCAATGAAGTGGGGCTTGTTGTGTGGTATCCCAGTGTGTGCATATGTGTGCATGTCTGTGGTCCCTGAGGGAAATGGCTGCCACCGGTGTTGATGAAAATGTAAACAAGTGTGTATGTTTACACTGGGTCTAAAAGCAACACCTGAGATGGCTAGCAAACAGCTGTTTACTGCAGCACTGTAGTGTGAGTATGTGCGTCCAGCATTACTCACACAGTGTCGTTAGACACCTGAAACACAGACTTGAAGCATAAAATTGCACTCCAGACTTTCCCCATAATGTTCCTTCGCATGTGCATCAGCCAAACAAATACACCTGCCATGAATGAATGAATGAATGAGCAGATGCAGACATCCAGGAATTATCCACTGCTCAGTCCAAATTGACAGATGTCTTGACTAAGTTTATGATGTTGTCAGACAGAATGTGAAGATCTTTAAGTTAATAAGAATAAGGCACTTGTCCTTATTCTATTACATATTTGACAATATGCAGGTTAGAATCAGTTGTGGATTACTTTTGCATTCCCTTCTGACAATAAGTTGTCATGTGAGTGCCATTGTTTTTATGGTCTGTTATGAAACCTTGCTGGAACCCAGTCCAGTTAACATGCATTAATATAATATGTAAAAAAAAAAAATAGATTCAAATACTATTACTCAGCTATAGGGCATAATTAGACAAAAAATAAAATAGTTTAATGCATGCATCAGGAAGGATGGTTAGATGAGGGAAATAAATTACAGAAGGAGGGAGATGAGGTTTTTATGTTTCACCTGTACAACATCAAGATGGCAAAAAAAGATAAACTACATTGTAAACAATGATAAAATACTAAGGCATACTCTCAGCGTAGAGTGAAGATTTAACTCTAAACTGAAGTTAACATTGCTTTAACACTGCAAATACTATCCAGCAATTTTGAGTCCAAATAGGTTTTCCAAATATTATCATTCACAAATTCCCAGCTTTAGCCACCGTTCCGTCTCTCTGTCCCCCCTCTCCCACTTGCCTGGTGCAGCTAGGCTCTGGACCTGGACGGGGACCTGGACGTTGGCCTCGGAGGCCAGGGTGAGGCGGCCCCCCTTGCCGATGCGATCACAAAGCAGGGTGATGTGCTTTTTAAGGCGGGTGGTGTCACGTGGGAGGCCGAGCACAGGGCCTCCTGCCTGGGCCAGAGATGTGGCCTGGTCCTTGGGGCTCCGCGACAAGCAGCTCCGCAGGAGGTGGGAGACAGCGGCATCGCAGCTCTCCTCCCAGCCCTGAGGAGGCAACAGGAGAAGGAGGAGAGAGAACATAAATACTGAACAGTGACAATGTTGAGATCGAGTTGTTGAGAAAATGTGTTAAAGGGATGGGCTATATATGTTTAAAAACTGTATTTTTTTTGTATCTGTTTTTTTCCCTTAAAATAATTTGCATATCAGTTGTATTAAGATACAGTTCTATATGAATTGTGAAAACACTAATTAGGGAGCAGGAAAAGACAGAGACAGGAGGAAACAAAGAGCAGAAAAGAAAAAGAAGAAGGAGGACAAGGGGCAGGAGGAGAGCAGCAGGAAACAA